AACTCAAACAAGCCAAGTATGTATATGGGGAACAAATCTATTTTAAACTTGGAGAATGATCCATGAGGATTCTACACTGGGTTAGATTCTAATAGCAGCTGCATTTGCTCTTTTAATCATCTTGAAAATTGTTTTAATTTGGTCTTAAACTCAGTTTTAAAAGCCTCTGACTTATCTGCATTGTGCTGATGTCTAGAGATAGCAAAGATAACCAGGAGAGTTAACTGTGTGTCACAGGTAACTGGTTGCAGTAGAACAGAGTTCAGTGTGCTTTTACTTATCTGGGAAGCTAAAATTTGAGAGAGGACCTTGTTGCTTTAAAGAAGAAGAAGAAGAAGAAAAAAAGGATGTCTATAGAAAAAAGAACACTAACAATCTTGAATTAGATGAGCCTAAATGTCCTGGTAGTCATACCTTCTAAAAAGTGAAGTAGAAAAAATGAACATGTTTTTGCTTTTTCTTGTAATTTGGCAGTAGGGACCCTTTCATTTGGCCACATGCATGCTTTTGTGCTTTTGTTTTTCACAAAATTTTAAGCAGGAGGAGGCGAATGGCAACCTCGCAGTGCAGGTACAATTTGGTGTTCAAACCGGGGGAGCTTTTTGTGTGAAAATGGTAGGAAGGAGTTTAAATGTTTTTATTTGTTTTGCAGATGCACTTTTACTTCATTTTGCTTTTAATATACTTTACTGAGGGGCATGAAGCAGAGAGGTATGCATTTATTGGCAGAAGGCTTCCTAATGGCAGTCAGCTGGAACCAAAATTCAGCAGCACAATGTAGGGGTAATTTGGGTCACACTGTGTGTGGAAACAGCTGGTACATTCCCAAATCTGAGAGCTGAGAAGTGATGTGCTTGTGTGTTTTGTGTTGCTGCACTGTTTTTGATCTCGCAATAGCTAAATGAGGCTCTCCTGCTTTTAAGATTGAGCTGTTTTCTTGCTATCAGCTTGATATTTGTATCACGCTGCCTAGCATTTCGTGCCTGAAATTCAAGAAGGGTCTAGCTATGTTAATGTCTTTTCACTTGCAGTGTAGATGTGCCTCCTGATGTCGGAATTTAATTCCTCAGATTTCCAGGCCCTACAAGCAATTGTTTGTTCTATCATAAAAGGTTCAAGGATTTCCTTCTAAAATACTTGAAATGAACAAGTCTTCTTAAATAATATATATATTTTTAATTCCTATCTCATAAGCACAAATGTAGAAGTTATTATTCTAATTAAAGGCTTGCAGAGCAATATAAAGAGCAGAGCTGGATAACTATGGCAGATCTGGAGAGAGAATTGCAGGAGATGGAAGCACAATATGAAAAGGAATTTGGAGATGGATCAGAGGATGATGATGACTTAGAACAGGAGATAAAAGAAGGAATAGAAGGTATGTGTGAGACCTGTTGTGAATAATGGCAAGAGTTTGCTACACCTAAAGACTCAAGATCTAGACTCAAAACTTTCACTGTAGTTCAGGTCTACTGCTTTCATTGGGGATGGGCCTGGTGAGTCTGGCCCTTGATGTCTTCCATTGGGCATAAGAAGACATCAAGATAGAACTGGAAATTTATGCTGATTGTGATTTGGTGAGATAATCTGGATTTGTCTACATGTCAGTAATACTGAAGAAGTCAAGTATCCATACTGTGACTATCGGCTGTGGCTTTACAAGCAGCTGACTTGAAAATTGCTGATAAAACTTTCCAATTCCTGTCTTTACAGACAAGTTGAGTGATGAGGCTGAGGAAGCAGAATGTGTTGATGATCTTTACTGCCCTGCGTGTGACAAATTGTTAAAAACTGAGAAAGCGTAAGTCTCTTAACTCTTTTTTTTGTTGTTTTTGTTTTTGTTTCCTTGGAAAACCTGCTAAAGATCCTTCACTTAATAGTCAGTGCCTAGAAGTAATGTGATCACTGTCAGGGCGTAATTTTTCCTGTTTGTAGTGATGTATAATGGGATTATTATTAACTTTATATATAAATATAACAGTATTTGCCTAAAGCTACTTGCAGTAACTATCTGCTGGTCTTCTCAGCATGAAGAATCATGAAAAATCAAAGAAGCATCGAGAGATGGTAGCTCTGTTACGGCAGCAACTAGAAGAGGAGGAGGAAGAATTTTCTGTATCTTTGGATGATGCCAATGAAATAAAGACCAAAGAGGAGGAAGAAATGGAAGAGACACCCAAACAGAAGTATTTTAAATTATTTTAGCTTATGTAACATTATTATGCTCAATCACTTAATAAGTTTTGGAACCTCTCAGTGAGGACTTCTAGTTGGATGTATAGTTGTGTTCGAACTCATACTATTAGGCAATTTAAAATTTTTCTTTGTATCCAGTGTTCCAATGACATGCTTTCTTTAATATTCTACAGCATTTGAATCTACCCATAAGTTTATTAGTAACAAGTTAATAACGATTTAGTAAAAATTTTTTATTTGTTTGTTTGCTTTCGTTTTAAAATATATGCTAAGGGGAAGTAGTGGTTGTTATTTTTGAGCCAATGAAACTTGCTTCAAAAATTAGAAGTAGAACTGAAGAAAGCAAATCATTTTAGTTGTGGCTATCTCTCCCCAATTTCATGTTTAAAATATTTTGCAAAAATATAACTTGGTACCTTTTTTAAAACTATACTTCTGTTTTGATTCTTTTCTTGAAAGCTAATTTTAAATTCTTATCTTCACAGACTCTCTAAGAAGCAGAAGAAGAAACAGAAAACAATGACGGTATGGAGTCGGAGAAAACAAAATTCAGGGAACTTTGCAACCTGGTTTTGTTGTCTCCTTTCTTAACCTTTTTTTTTTTTTTGTCCTGAAAAACAGAGAATTTGAAATTATACAGAACTTCTGGAAAACGTTTAGATATTTTTAATTCATTCTTGAGTGATGGTTTTTTATATTTATTATTGTCATGATATTATGTAATAATCATAAACCTCATTGTACTAGGATCTGTACAAACAGAACAAACGTGGTGCTGACCCCAAAAAGCGTATGTACAGGAAAAAGAGACCAGTTAGAAACATAGGGGTAGGGAGAATAAAAAGAACTGATCAGAAAGTCAGTCAGTGGTCTCGGTGCTTAGCAGCTTAACTGTTTGTTTTTCAATTTTCTGTTTTTCTATTGCTTAACTTAGGGCATTACAGACGATAAATTATGATACTAACTTAAAGGGTATCCTCTTCATACTGCATAGTTGGAAGCAACGCATCCATTCTACCCTATCCCTTGAATTGTAGACAGCAGTGATGCCAGTCTGTGGTGCTCTGGGTCCTGTGTTTTTCTGTGATGTGACAGCTCTGTGCTGAAAGCAGCAGGCTGAGACTCGAGAATTAGGAGTTGTTCAGGTTTGAGTGGCAGGATTATCACAGTGGGCAAACTCGTCTGTCCCCCTCCCTTAAACTTGATGTATTCGAATCCTTTACTTACCGCCTTGGTCCTACTTTGTCCTAGGGAACTGCCTATAGCAGGTCTTGCGTTGTTCAACCTTTACCAAGAAGGTTGCATACCTTTTTCCCAACCTCTACTCCATCTAGTCTCCTGTTTGCATTCCCTTTCTCTGCTTTCTGTTCTACCATCATTATTTCTTGCCCTCGAGACACTCCCAGAGATGTTTATACAAGCTTCTTCTTGGGTTTACATAATTGGAGGTGAGATCCTCTTTTCTTGTTTCCATCCAGCCCATCAGCTTCCTGTCCCCCTTGGCCCTCAATTTGGAATCAGCAGGCCTTGATTTGCAGTGTAGGATGTGTATGGGGGACTTCTCTACCTGCCATTGGTTCTGTTACAAGGTCTTCTGCAGCCCAGAGCATGGGTTGCATGTCGCATATCATGAGCTGGAATGTTCTTAGTGTGGAGAGCCTCTTCTGGAAACTGCCATCCCCTACCAAGCTTCTGCTGAGCACATGTAAACGCTGGTGGTTTTCACTTTTATGGATATTGGTAGCTTAGCCAAATTTTGCCAGTCAGTTTTAATTCTGCCAGAAATACTAGAGGAGCTACAGTTGCATGACCATAGTGTTATGTCCATCTTGTTATCATGCTTCTAGGAGCTGAGCTGTTTTGCTTCACACATTTCAGGAGTTGACTCTTTGGCTTACTGTCCTGAGGTTAATCCTCATTGTGTAGGTGGGATCCTGTCATCCAGTCAATGGGAAAGGTTACTGGTGCTTTTTTAAATGTTGTGGGGGAAGGAGGGAATGTATAGCGCAGTGAGCTAATTTGGCTCAGTATCCTAATGCAGATGTGTGGCACAGAAAACTAGATGGAACACTTAACGTGTGGCAGTTGCAAAACCATTAATCTGTAATCTGTAATGTGAAATGGTAGCCAAAACAGTATGAATCCAGTGTATAACCAAAAGCTGCTCTAATTCTCCTCTCCCTGAGTTCTAGAGGCTATATGTTAAGGGTGTCTCTACACTGATTCATTGCAGATGGCCTTCCTTTCAAACTAAGATAGCTGAAGTGTCACTGAAAGCATAGAATAAAATTAGAAAATTGATTGCTTTGTGTTTGTTTTTCCCCCACCCTCTCCTGGATGACAAAAATGACTGTTAGAAATGTGATTACTGATTATGTTAGAGTAGTTAACTACATTCCTCTCTGACAGACTTACGAGGACTCTTTTGATCAAAGTGCTGATGAGGAACCAGTTGAACAGAGGGAGGCTCCCAGTGCAGACAAGGACAGTAGCTCAGCAGGCAAGCTGGTAACTGATGGCCAGAAATGTTCTGCGTCAGAGGAAACGAGTGCTACAGAAGACGTCAGCCAAGCGAATGAAGCAAAAAATGAAGTGAAAAGGTAATTTAATCAACACTGATTTGTAATGCGGCAGTGACTATGTGATTCCATGCCCTGTTTGATATTGTCACACAGTCTGAATATTCTCAGCGATGTGAATTGGAGGCTACTTCAATAAATCATTAAGAGTTAAATGTAACACTAAAAAAGCAGCCTAAGTTGAAAATGGCTTTGGAATATCAGTAGCTAATTCATCATCCAGCTAAATCTTGAGATCGACAAGTCCCAGTGGAATTGATGTTTTTACTGGAAGCACTTTTGACTGGTTGTGTGAAGGAGGGGAGGGGGAAGTAGTAGACACTTGATTGAAAATGATCAAAGGCACTAAATGTTGAATTAAATTGAATGTTCCTAAGCTACACTGATCTTGATTTATTTTTGTCTATCAGTAGTACTAAGCCTAAAGGGAAGAAAACCAAGGATGCAAAAAAATCTGCTAAGGCATCATCAGAGCACCCAACAATGGTATGTCAAGTTATTTAAAAATCACCAATTTGTAAACAGTATAAAATTAATAACAAAGTTGTTGGTTTGATCACCTGCCCACAAATTCTGTCTGATGTTTTTGGCTTACTTGCTAATATTTTTAAACAGGTACTTTCTATTCCTGAGCTTACATTAGAAGTTAGAAGCCTGGAGCAGCAGCTTGTATGTTTTTCAGGGAAAAGTAGCATCTCTCTCAATACTGAAACACAGTCCTAGACAAACAGTCCTAGTCTCACCACAGCAGCTCAACCCGATTAAATTATACACACATATAAAGACAGAGCTGTTGTCATCAAGGAGGTGACAGGCAGTAGCATTGGATCTTTACCACTATTCATACTTCCACTTCCCAGAATGAGCAAAACCTTAAGATCCTCCAACTAAGACCTACTTAGTTCAATACATCTTACAGTCCAAAGAAGTATGCATATATAGTCCTCTTTAGACAGTTAAGATCTGAAGTATTCTTCATCTTAAAAGGCTTCTATTTGTAAGGCCTCTCTCTCTGTTCTTGGCTCTACTTGACCCTTAGTCCTACACAGAATCACAGAATGGTCACACCTAGAGCACGTGGCACAGGGTGGCATCCAGGTGGGTTTTGAAGATCTCCAGAGAAGGAGACTCCACAATCTCTCTGGGCAGCCTGTTCCAGTGCTCTGTCACCGCAACAGTAAAGAAGTTCTTCCTCACATGGAGGTGGAACTTCCTGTGTTTCAACTTGCAGTAATGTGAAGCACTACTGGTTTGTTTTCCTTCTATAGAGTGAAGTTCCCATCCACTGTGTAACCTGCAACTCTGTGTTTCCATCTCGGAATAAACTGTTTGAACACCTGAAAGCTACAGGCCACGCAAAAGCAATGCAAGCACCAGCTGTAAATGGAGCTGTACACACCAAAAACAAAAAAGAGAAACGTAAAAACAGATAGAACTTTGTTACAGTGACAGTCTTCAAAATCATCCATGAAAACTCTCAGGCCTGAAAGGTGAAGATTTCCTGTATTTTGAGGTGAATGGAGAAGGCAACTTCTTGTTTTTGGGGATAAAGGAATGTTATTTTGTGCAGCAACTCCTGCTTTCGGTTGTTTTGCCCAGCCTTTCTTCAGTGACTGAGTGTCATCTACCCTGTCAGCAGCTCTCAAGTTGTGGCAGGAAACAGGTAACTTTACTGCATACCTATGGAAACTTGCATGGATGAAGTCCATGGATGAAGCCAGTCCAAGGAAATAAATTATTATCACACTTACGCTTAACACCTTTTTTTTCTTTTAAGCAGCTCAGGTCCTGTTGAGTGTAGCAAGTTGATTTTAAGTTAGAGGGAACTGTGTGCTGATTTGCTCATCTATAAAGAAACAGAAAAAAAAGCCTTTTTTTTTTTCTGTTATCCATGCACGCATGACCTTTCTAATTAGAAATTTGGGAAAGGAGGAGCAGGATGATAATGTTGGATATTTTTGACACTCTCCACTGATTTCATTCAAGCACCTGCAGTGAGTTGGAAAAAAAAATGTGAAGAGTGTTTGTGGTCCAAGTGAAGGAGAAATAAATAGATGATAGCTGCAATTCCATGTAACTATGTTCAAGGTGCTCTGCATTTATAAAGAGCATTTCTAGGTCTACAGACACCAACTGCAGAGAAAAAAAATAATAGAAGCTACAGTTGGTTGTTTTCCTTCTAATGTTGAATGAAGAACAAAAACAATTAAAACTGTAGCTCTGTTAGATATATAGCCTACTTGATCATAAATGCTGCAAACGCCTTGAAAGTGGAAGTGGGGTTAAAAACAGCTTGTTTTTCAATTACAAAACGGTTTCAAAACCAATCATCAGTGTGGTTAGAAAGCAGCACCCAGCTAGGACAAGGGCTGTGGTACTTGGTTAGAAAGTGTCTAGAGTAAAACTTTCTAGAAGCAACTTGTTCTTTTAAAAAAATTCCTCTTCAGTTTCAGCTCATTAAATAAAATGACAGAAACACCTCTGCAAGGGTAGCATGGTGACTTTATAGGGCTAAGAAATTATTCAAGTTTTACAACTATAATCAAACTAAAATGACAAAGCTGCAGTTAATGTGGGGGTTTTTGTTGTTGTTTGGTTCTTTTTTTTTTCTTGGTGGCTGAAGGAATAATTTTTTTTTTCAAACAAATATGACTGATTACCAAGAAACACCTTATCATTCTTCAAGCCCTTCTTAAATGGCTGTACTAAGTAAATCCCCAAAGCAGCTACACAGTTGGGCAGATAGACTTTTCTTGCTCTAATTACAAGAGCCTTGTGTATCCTACCAAGAGAGGGGAAGCAATTTTAACTTTGTTCAAAATCTCCAGTTATTTTCTGCTCAGGGTGGCTCACAGCCCAAGACTGAATTACTGTTATATAAATTAAGCCCCACATCATGGGGCAAAGGGGGGAGTTTCCCTGCAGTATTACCTCTTGACTTCAATTAGTGGGTATAGTGGGTATACATACACACACACACACACACACACATATATATATATAATTTGTTTTACAAATGTTTGCACTTTTAGTATAGACAACTGGAAATGCTGCTGTTAAAGCTACTTACTCTATGCTAGTCCAAAGAAAGTTCATTATCTAAGGACAGTTTTAATTTATCTGTTACTCTTTCTAAAAATGTTGATGTTTTATAGATGCAAAATGAATAGGCAACATCTTCCACTTACTCTGACCCCAGGTTAGTGTAATCTGGGGGTCTTTTTAACTGGAACCCTAGAAAAGGTATGTCACTAATACAAACACTGCTGCAGAACTTGAACGGTATGTTTACAAACAGATTATTCTTTAATATGCATAAATATGATGCACAAGAAAGGTCTTATTGTGCTGAGCAAGTTCTCCAGCTGCAGCCTGTGTGTTTCTTTTTCCTTGTCTATTATAGCTGAATTACAGAATTAGTGCAGAGATGGATGGCAGAGAGGAGGGGGTCAGGGAGTATCTCCTGTGCAAGGCACCAAATCCAGTCTTATTTTGCAGCCGCTCTTTCCACGTGTTTCTCTAATGCAGTCCGAAATACTTCCACAGCAAAGTCTGCGTCCTTTTTAGTAATGCACATGGGAGGTTTAATTCTAAATGTCTGAGAAGAGAAAGGGGAGGGAGGGGGGCAAAAAAGTATTTAGACATGCAAGGACAGAATACAGTTTCTAGCAACTCGTTTAGGTCAGCACTCACCTTCTGCCAAAAAAAGCATCTAACCAAAAATGAGAGAAACAATGAACAGGAAAACTGCCTCTGATTAATGCACTCAGAAATGGGGCATTTTTTGACTTTTATTACATCAAACTGTCTACTTTATTTTTGTGACAGAGTAACTGCCTCCATGAGAGACCTGACGAGTAGATGACGTGTGCCCAGGTCTGCTATTCCAGACAGAGCTCGTATAAATCCTCAGATGGATTTGTAGCAAGAAAGGGCTGAGAGGGGCAGTTCTGAGAAAGGAGTCTCTATGAAGAGTGGCAACTCTTGCATTGTGCTAACTTGCTGTCAACTAATTTGCTGTCAGTTTATAGCCTTTAATTCTTGCAGAATGCGTTATGAAACAGTTGTTAAAAACTGACCTACAGGAGGGTAATACAGTCTGAGTGCATGCTAATGAAGAATGAAATACATACAGTTTAGCAGAGCAAGAATTTAAATTTGGTCTGTAGCTTCCAAAACTATTTCACCTCCCTAAGAATATTAAACATCCACGTTTCCCTATCATCCTATTCCAGGACTATCTGCAACAAGTACAGAATGGGCTTACCTACCCACACCACCAACTAGATTTAACAGACAAGAACATGCAAGAACGTTCTTAGGAGACAGAACAGGGTTTTGCTATGCTCTAAGCTACAGTCTGAAACCCGTGTTCTGCTCCAGGAGCTGTGGCAGACCCTTGTACACAGTCTCCTTTCTCAGTTAGTCAGTACTCCTTCCACAGTACGTCTCAGGGCTTAATTGAGCTGTTGTCCTTACAGCAGCCCTGTTATTAACTGAAGCATAAGGAAACTCCTGCTGCACTGCCCTGATACAGTGTGGAGTATCTCAGGATGAATTACTCATGGCCCTTTCTTCATGCTGCTGTGCTACACTGCTGAATTTACTAGTAAGAGCCTATCTATTACCGGCCTACCTGCTGGGCTACCAGCTGTCCTGACTGGAAGCACTGACAAGAAAAAACTTGTTTCTCTTGCCATCAAGTCAAGTGGGAACCTTTAAAGCGGCCAAGAGCTAACAAACCTGAATAGTACTGGTTTCCTCTAGCACATCATGTGCTAAAGTACCTTGCTTTGCTTTTCTTGGGGGAATTATCCCTCTAAAATGGGAATTAGCTTTGAGCTAGTTCAGTGTATTTGTGAGAAAAGACAAACACCTCCTGCCTGATTCATAACATAAGAAAAGGAGGCAGAGTTCTTTGCACTACACACATTTTCCAGTTTACTTACTAAAATAAAGTTAATTAAGTCCAAGTGAAGTAGGATGCAAACCAGAAGCCCTGTACCTGACGATAGAGCCCTCCTCTGCCAAGCAGTATTCCCATGTCCTTACAGTCCTCCCAGATCTGACCAAATTCTTCATTTGGAAGAGGGTGGCAGCTGCCCTGTGAAAAGTGAACATTAAATTTCATTCAAAAACCCTAAATTAGTTTATTAAAAAGGTGTGTATTTTACTGTCTCCATTAGATTACACCCCCCACCCCCACTCTGCTGGGAACATCAGCTGCAAAATTTATGTGTTTTTTAAGGCTGAGCTTACACAAGTCAAGTACACAACCTGCTGCCTATTCAGAATGTGTGAAATATTTAAGTTGTTTGAATGTTCTAGCTAATTTTTAGCTAGAATATGGTCTCTTACTCTGTCTTTAATAAAAAAAGTTCTACTGCTACCACAATCATTTTGTTTCAGCTGAAATAAAACTTTCAGGGGCCCAGTAAATTAAAAGGAGTAAAGTAAATCACCAACCTTATTTGTGACCATTTCTACCCCAATCATAAGTCCCTTGCCACGGACATCTCCAACAATTTCGAACTTCTCCCGGAGTTTAGCAAGCTCTAGAAGCATGTATGTTCCCACCTCCTCACTGTTTTGTTGTAGCCCATCTTCTTCAATAGCCTGATTAAAACGATGTAAAACAACAACACTGCTGGGAAAGCTTGAGCTGCTTCAGGTACATCATGTTCATTCCCCTTCCTCTTGCAGACTATGCTGTGGTACTAGCATCCTTACTTCTTTCTATGCCACTAAGACCATCAGATTACAACTGACAAGTTCATATTTTCATCCTGTTGTGTCCTTTTATAATAACTCCATTCTAATAACTCAAAAGTTATTTCAGAGCCTCCTACCTCTCTCAAAAAAATAGTGGTTTTGACTTTCTTACAAATTAAAGCATTTTGAAACACCAAATTACAAGTATCATCAACAGTCTACATTTTATGAAACAGCTGTGAGAAAAATCAGCCAGGAAAATAACCTGAGCATAAACGGACCATCTGCTACAGTGAAGCTTCAGAGTCAGGGAAACCTGGTCTGTGTGTGACCATTACAAATTAAATAGCAACCTACTGCCCACTTACTTAATAATTTTGTATCAGATAATAGTGCAAAAAATATAAAATAATGCATTTTTTCTGTGTCTTTTTCATGAGAATTTTTCTGTTTCACAAGAAATTCAGTACTTATGTATCTTTAACTATCTGATTATTAAGTCTTCTTGTGCAGAAGGCTGAAACTGTGGAATTAAAATAATTTACATATATGTTTCAGAGAATAAATATGGCTTAACTGGGGATTTGCATCATCCTATGAAAATCATTTATGGGTGCTACTTTTTCAAAGCACTTTCCTACATTTTTATTAACAAATTTAAGAACATTACAGGAATAAAAAGGGAAAGATGATTTGGGTAATGTAATCACAGAGGATAACCATTCTTGCTACTGGGATGAAAATTTTACAATGGAACAAATCAGCAATTACTATTTCCTACCCCCAGGGAACACTGACCACATAAAAATAATACTTTCATAGATATTCTATAGTTATTTATAAAATTGCCCATATAAATTTATAATAAAAAACTAATGTAAGCATTTTTCATCTTTTGTTATTAGAAAAAGCCTAGTGTACAGACATCATAACATTCTCCCTACATCAAGAACTGCAGCTCCTACTACGCAAGCCACAGGGTTTCCTCCAAACGTATTAAAGTGAAGGTTCTGAGCCAAGGCATTTGCAATCTCTGAAAGAAAAAGAAAAACATTTTCATTCCTTCCCTTGCAAGGGCCTTATAACAATATTTAGCTGCTTTAACTTCTAAAATAATGCTGTGTTCCACTCTGATTCTCCTGGAGATAAAGAGAAAGGAAGATTTCAATTTGTCGTGCAGCAAGTCTGAGAATATTATTACCATATTCCCCATACTATAAAGCCTAGCAGTTGCTAAAGAGTTTTGAAATGTTACACTTCTAACAGATCTAGTCAGTTGTCCTTTAAACCAACATGTAGAAATTTCCTTCTTCCATACAAGATTCAGTGAATCATTCACATGAATCGAGCTGTGGCCAACACAGCGCGTTACTGAGAAAAAACTGAATTATGCAGAATTCCCAGGGTCTGCTGCCAGCTCTGCCAAAGTGTCACAAGATCTTCTCTGCTTCAGTTACACAACCAGCCCCCTTTAAATCAAACTTTATGCTGCTGTAACACAGCAATTAATCAATCAAGTGCCATGGGAATCTGATTCATTTATCTCAACAGACAGTTTGAGACCAGGAACACTAACGAAGCTCAGCTGTTGGAACAAGTAATAAACTGCTACACGGTGTACTTTGCATCTGCTTTATCTTCCCCCTCAGCAGAACTGAACGCTCATACCTTTTGTTGTAACAACTGCTGCCATTGGGAAACCATTCCCAATTCCTTTTGCCATCGTAACAATGTCAGGGAGTACATCATGGGTTTGAAATCCCCAGAAATGGCTGCCTGTCCGTCCAAATCCTGTCTGCACCTTTCAAGAGAAACACCCAGGAATGTCCCTGTTACCTTCTCACATTTTGAAATATGATTTCTCTCGTCTCTCTGCTGTTACTGATGTGCATGAACTGCAGCTCTAATACACAAAGATTGGTAATTTGGTCTTCATTCTTCTGTTTTTTTCTTCCATGTGACAGAGCAGACATCTCACCAACTGTTAGGCCTGGTACAAGGAGCAGGGGCAAAGGGGAAGGGGGCTCTACCTGCCAACCCTTCTACATGAACAATAGCTCTGCATTCAGACTTAGCACAAACCACTGCGTACAGACAGAGTAAATATGTCACGAGCCTAAGTGCTACTGTGGCAATCTCGATGTTTATGAGCTGCACATCGGTGCAAATGTGCTACTCCCAAAAGTCAAGGAAAGGCAGCTGCTACCTCAGTGTCTAAGCTCAGCACAGGGGCAGCGATGCTAGGAGAGACGCACTGTGTAAACTCGTCAGGCACTGAAAGGTAACACTGGCTGCAGAGTGACTCATTTGGATTATCTTCCAGTCTTGGATTCTTTAAAAGGACTTCCAAAGGTATCTCATGTTCTAGGGCTTTAGTAAACAAAAACAAAGCAACAAACTCACTTCATCTGAAATACAGAGCCCTCCTCTTTCCCGTACTAGCTGAAAAGCTTCCTTCAAGAAACCTTTTGGGTACTGAACAGTTCCATTAACACCCTGCCAAAGCAAAAGACAAAAGTGTTCGTGAACAGAGGAAGAAACAGGGAATTCACTGGGTGAGTATCCTACAACAAATACCAACAGCCCTCGGGTAAGAGCAAGGCTTGTGCTGTCTCCTAAGTTCCTGGCTTTGCAGTAGTGACTTCAAACATTTCCTGCTCACTCTCTTGTTCCCAGCCCACAGGGAAGCCTCCTCTAATGTCAACTGTGTCGTACAAACGTTTGTGATGCCACACTGTAAAGTGAATCACTATGAACAGATTGGATTAAAGATAAACTGCCAAAAACAGTACCTTGAAAACCTTCACACTGAGAAACCTAGGAAGTGTTTGATAATGAAGTTAACCAACCAACTCCCAACTTGGGTCCCTTCTTCGGTAGCTTTTTTTAGAACAGTTTCCTCCTTTTCTGCCCACCATGCCACTTGTCTTTCAAATCACAAATTCCACTCCACACATGCACTGCGATGGCTTCAAAGAATGAAGTATGTAAAAGTTTGGAAGACAACAAAAATGACAGAGTAACGACTTCACTTTTCTCTAAGGGCACGGTTTTAAGATTATATTTTTGCATTTATGGTATATATTCTCCACACTTTCATGCTATTTAAGAATTAAATAAATAGCTGTTCTGAAACTGCAGTGAAGCATGAAGAGGAATGAATCCTGGGGCCACAGCTTGCTGGTGAGTTGCTAAAAACATAGTGGAGAACGTTGCTGGGAAGAACTGGAAGGGGACTGAGATAAAATTTACAGAAATAATAAAAGCATAATTAAACTAGAAAGTAACTACTAGAATATAAACAGTAATATATACTTTATTTTGGTTTCATGTGTCATCCTTCCTATTTAAATACGGAAAAAAGACTGCATTTAAAAATGATTCTGTTTAATGTAACTTAATGAACAAAATCCTGCTCTATTGGGGTCTGTAGCAAAAGTTCAAATTCTAATAGTGCGCACCCAAAAAATATTTGAAATACTTAATATGTTTAGGACTGGAAGCAGTTAGGATGAAATTAGGTGTAGCTAAAGAATAATATTTAACTTGTGCTATCAAAATTCAAAAGTGGCAAACCACCTACTTGAATTGGTTCAACGATAAATCCAGCTATTGTTTTTGGCACACAGGTATTCAGAGTTTCTTGGAACTGTTCAATATACTGGTCCTTTGCATGACACACACCTGTTTATATGGAAGACAGTTTAGAGAGAGTTGACTTAAAATGACACAAGAGTAGTTTCAAAACATGACATTCCACATCTAATCTATAGTCTTCCTAATAGAAATAGAATTTCAGACTGAGCTTTCTGTTTCTCAGGAAGTATCTTTGATGGTAAAACACTTCTGGCATGTTTTTAATATTCCAGATCAAGGAATAAATAAATTTTGAATAAATCTCCTAAACCATTTACACTGCAAGGAGCACCAGTTCCAAAACAGCAAGGCAAAGCTGCTGCACAGTAAGATGCTACCCATCACACAGGTCAGTAAATTCTAGATTAAAGAAAATGTTTGTGAATTATCATCTACCTCAGAAAAAAAAAGCAAGTGATTAGTTTCTCATGGGTTAATAAATATCAGAATAAGACACAGCAAACTGTCAGGTTAGTAAGACTGGAGAATGCAGCCGCCCATCAGTCCATACTGTAACAAAGAAGGCAGTTATTAGTACAGCTCATCCTCTCATTCACTGGAAAGGGCTAAAATTAAGAAAACCTTTTGTTCTGCATGTGAGGTAAAATACTAGAGTACTTGCTGAAACAGTGAAAAGAGTATTGTAAATATTGTAACGTATTTTAACTGCTCTTTACAGGGCAGCAGCAGAGAAGCTTTCACATTGTGCTGCCTATGGAACATTACCTGAGGCTTGCTGCAATATTTTATTCAGCTGTGTGCAAATCCAAACCTATTGGAGCAATAGGACCAGGGGTCCTATACATGAATCCTTATCTTTCCTGAAAAGTTAAATAAATATGCCCTGGGGCATATGGAAACCACAGCTCCATACTACCTCCTAAACTCAAAAACAAATACTTTTTGTCATTGACCAACCTTCAGAACAGCTGCATTTTCGAATAGTTTGCACTGGAGAATCTCTGCAGTGGCTGCCTCCCCATGGACCACGAAAAACATCTGGCAACATTGTCTGTCAAGCATAAAAGAAATAGCTACAGATTTGATGACACTGTCTAAGAGAAATGTTGATCATACCTAAAGATGACTCCAAGGAAGAAAGCTAAAACAGTCTGCTACAGTCAAACAATATCTGAAATAACGCCAGGTGTGCCCAAAGATAAGAACTCTGATGGGAGGTAGACACAGAGGTATTTTTTTTTTTTTTTCTGGAGAGGAAGCAAAAAATCCCTGTTTGACCATTCTAGCAGCGGTCACTCAGTTGATGACTTCCTTTGCTTTACTCTCAAGTCAGTTAGTCAGCAATTACAGCTATCTAACTAACAAGGAGTGAAAGGGGACTCCCAACTCTCGCTTTGCTTACCCAGCAGAAACACTGCAGTTCAGCTAATGAAGCACTTGCTAAAGGCTGAAATGCTCAAACAAACTGTTAGGTACACAGATTACTAAAAAAATAAAAATGAAAACATCTCACTGTTATGCAGCCAAAGCCACTGGCAAAGCCATGCTTATAGTAACCAACAGATGTCACTCCCAGCGTGTAGGGGCTGCCTCCGTGGTACGCTCCTCTGCAAACACAAAGCACAGGATCAGCACACATGTCTGAGAGGAACCTGTAGCAATATCAGTGCTGACAGGGCATGCCTCCAAGCTAAACATCACGGAGGAAAGTGTTTGCCACTGCTCTCAAAGATTAGATTACTACTGCCAGTTTTTGCTCTGATTGTGGAATATTTGCTGCTACCCATCTGCAACATTTGCTGCAATGGCAAATGTTAAACCAGTAAATGTTAAACCTCCTGTTCCCATAGGGAGAAGAAACAGACTGGGATCAGCTGCAATTTGGACAGGCTTTGTACAGCCTCTCCTGTAGCTCTGCTGCAGCACCTGAGCCCCTGGGGATAAGCGTCTCTGTTCCTTGCACCTTGGGAGCTTCTCTCTCAAGCAGATGCTGCCAATCATTACATTGCCTAGTGGATTAATGCTAGTTTTTATACACAAATCAGAAATTCACCAAGGGGAATATAATTCACAAATTAGGTGGATTCACCTTTTTTTTTTTTTTTTGCCGAACAGAATGGCAGGAAAAACGCCCTTTTCCCCAAAAGCTAATATATTTTAATAGGTGCTTTTACTCTAATATCTGAGACCTTGGACACACAGTAAGAGAAGAATTGCTTATACTGATGATTACATAGTCCTCCCCCATCCACCACTTCTGTAATTACGGCAGAACAGCTTTCTGTGCAGCTGTGCAGCAAACCACACGAGGGATCCATCAGGATAACAAGCCAGCAAAACAAACAAGAACAAAAAAGGACCCAGTCCTTTCACTGGGTCAGTTTTCAGCCAGATCAGTTCCCTACTCTGGGTCACTGCTCATCTGTTCTAACTGAACCTTTGTATCCCCAAAAAGGGCAGCACTGCAAGGTGGGATCAGTGAAAGCAGGTAACACAAGGATTAGATCGATTTTTTAAATAATGAAAGCATAAATCACAGGTTGTCTTTTAGCCATCCCGTGCTCACTGTATCAAAACTTCAACTCCCAAACTGATATCTTCTTTGCGTGACAAATTAATCTGAATGTGTCCTCAGCAGACTGAGTTCCACATTGTTTCATGTCTCGCACATATAGAGAGTGATCACACACAGGGAGTTTCCTAAAGACGCATCACCCTTACCTGAAACAGATGATGTCGAAGCTACGAGTATGTAACCTTGCCAGGAACATTGCCAGATCATTCGCTTCCGACCCGCTGTTGGTCAGAAAAACCACCTACAGAGAAAGGCTTATAATCAGTAAAACCAGCAACAACCCCCTCCTTATTTAGGATGTGACCATGTAGCCTTAGCAACACTATAAGCAATAACCCATCACTGCCGCAAAGTGACTTCATGGCAATAAACCTACTGTTAACATCATGTATGTGCAAATGAGGGTTAGGATTACGTTGATGGGCACACATGGCCCACATGGGCAGTGCAGAAAAAGCTTCCAGAATTAGACTCTTCAGCCTTTCCACCCTGTAGCTAAGATGAAACAGTGACTTAAAGAAAAAGGAAAATGTTTGGGTAAAAATGAGTATGACTCATTGAACAGAAACTACCTTTGCACAGGTAGTAGTAGAGTCTCTTCACAGGGCAACAGAAGGGAAAGCAGATATCTAAACAGAACAAGACCTTGAGATTTTATGCTAGTGTACCTCTAGGATGAAAGAAAAGGTCTGAGGGTCATGAAGTTTTTCCCTTTGACAGTCCATGGTCCCCACGCAGGTTTTCTCTTTCCAGCTAGTACTGCTCTACATACGTATTCTGATCTAATAAACACCCCACCACCGTGTCGGGAGCACCTACCTTAAGCGGATCTGGGAGCAGTGAAGTTAGCTTCTCCGCGTACTCCTGGATTGGGGGGTGCATGTAGATATTAGAGGTATGCCAGAGGCGGGCAAGCTGTTTCTGGGGAGCCGCAGTTACCTTCCTGCATGTACCGCAAGACAGTGGCTTATTCCAACAAGCACGTACACACAAACAAACTTCCCTTACTAGCACTTCAAACTCAGACATTGCTCTACTTGCCAGATAAATGAACAAATAAATAGAATGATTTAATTTGTTCTTCATCTTATAGCTGGGAACTAACCCGATTTTGAGCGATACTTGAAATCCTAGTGAGATAAATTCTCGTTTGGGATTCACACGGCTAAAAATTAACACAGGATAAAACTACTACGAGCATGTCTTTCTGCACTTGATGGGGCACATCAAGCAGCAGGACACTTACGGGTGACAATGACCAACATTGACGGTAGCAATTCCAGCAAAGAGATCAAGGTATCTTCGTCCTTCATAATCAAACAGCCACTGCATGTGGCCTTGATGCAGCAACAGCGGCTTCTTGTAAACCATTAACAGGGTAGGAGAGAGATTTCGTTCACGGATCTTCAGCATGTGGTCATATGTGTAGGACTGGGTGGAATAAACAAGTCAGTATGCGTTGACACTCTGAATATTCAGACTCAAAATTCATGGCTCACACATGTGGTCTGTAGTGGTTGCTCACAGAAAGACTTCAACACATTTTAGCACTCACAAATCTCTACAGGTGTCTGAAATTCAGCTTTCGGCAAGACTGCCCTTATTCTGCCCTTCTGTTGTTCAGTCCTCATTTCCTTAAAGTCTTTCAAATCAACAACTTATCCTTAATGCTACATAGGTTAATCTATTGGTATATTTCATGGTTGCAACCTCACTGTTCTTCTTAAACAAGCAGACTGCTTAAATTGTAATGGATTTACAGCAAACGAGCCCATCGCTCAGGTCTCTCCAGGCAGTCTTTACTTCAGTCCAGTGCAGCGTGTAGGACTTACTTGGTATTTTTCAGGCACAAAGTCGCAAGGGGGCATTTCTGCTTGCAGGGAGACTGAGCTTTTCCATTTCTGCAGCCCAAAGGCAACTACAAAACAGCAAGATAATAGTACTAGTATCGGGCAACTACCAAAGTGCTTGTGAAACAGCTCAATCACACAACACTGAAACAACAGTCGAGGCAATTTTTTTTTCTCTTTTTTTTCCCCCTGAGAGATTGGCTTTAGGAAAAAAAAACACCTGCTTGAGCACTGCATCTTTGTAAAGATAAAGAGAACTCTTATTGGGAACACCGAGAATTTCTTAAATACATTAGATGGAAAGTGAAGTTTGCTGAAATAAACTCGACATTACTCCCCTCATGATCACCTGGATCACTAGGATATTAACCACGCATGGCAGTCTAGCCTCGGAGAT